CAAGATGTTTACTTTCGTTTTATTTTTGACAGTTTTAGTGCTTTGGGCGAATTCTGGTGTAGATCTAGTCTCCTCCTCTGCAGCTAAAGTAACATTCCCGATAATCAATGATTTGGCATTACCGCCAAGAGCCTGTGAGAGCAGTCTAGTCAATTTCGAATCGCGATAACTGATAAACTCCTTCCCCTCGCTTAGTTGCCTTATCACATTTCCTAATACTGACAAAGATTTGTTTATGTTAGCCCCCTCTTTAAGACGCTCACCAGCAGCTTTCGTCAGAGAAACTCTCTCAGAACCAGCTAAGTCCATTAAGTTAAGGTAGCTTATATGTACAGGTCCATCTTTCTGATTGGCATCTTTCGACTCCAGAATAATCCGGAAAATCGTGTGTGATCGAGATGACCTCTCATTCATGCGAGTAGCTGCAACTCGTCTGATCTTATTGCCCTGCATCATGTTCTCCATAACTTTATCAACATTGTCTACGACAGCTTCCCTTGCATCAAGCAGCACATTTCCTTTGATATCTTCTCATAGTTAAACCCTGATTGCTCTTATCCAGGAGGTCATTGATCTTTTCATTGTAGATTTCAATATAACTGCATCTAATCAAGTACCTCTTATCAACCTGGTCTGCCACATGCTGGAATAACTGATTGGATACTAATTGGAAAAGCCCAGGATCTGTTTTATTGCCCAAAATGGTGTGTGTTTTGCCAGAAGATGTTTGGCCATATGCAAATATTGTGGCATTGAAACCTTCCATGAAGGAATCGACTAAAGGTTTTACTACAGATCCATATACATCTGAATTTGTACATTCCTGATTAAATACATGGTCGAATATATAAACCTCTCCATGGCGACTACTTTCATCGGCTTCCCATATGCAGTTTACTCTTACGTTCCAAAGACGCTCTAGACCATCGGCTACTTCGCGGTGGATCATTGGTCTGATCTTTGTGGCTACTTTAATATTGTTGGAAGTCATTTTGGAAGCTTGAACTGAAATTTAATTAGAACTAGGGCTATTTCACGGGTTATAAGAGGGGCAGATGTATCAGGTTGATACATTCTTTTTTTCCTCCTTTCCAGTATAGAAGATTTTTTTCTCTTGTAGGCTATGAATGCGGTCCGATAGTTTAGTAGAGCTACATTTACAGGGTGACTCAAAATCAAAGAAGAAACAGAATTGTTAAATTTCATATAGACTGTTATTGTTATTACAAAAAGAAGTTGAAGCAGCAGCAAATTCTCACAAATCTATAGATCCATCACTTTCAGCACCCGATTTTTCAACTTGAAAAATGCAGCTCGGTGAAGAATCACAAGGTAACTGTTGTCTATTCAGACAATACTCTTCTAAAAGCAACGCGAAGTTACCTAGTGCCTTACATGAATCGCCTTCATAATTCTTCATTATTGTCAATGGAAAACTGAAATTGTTGATTATTACAGTTTTTAATGCTTCAAATAAACAGATGGTGTTCGTGTTGGAAATCCCACGTCTAATCTCGCAAAACAGGTTATCCACCGGATCTTACTATCAACATCTGAAATGCCATTACTGTTTTTAGCCATGTGTACAACAGGTTTGTACGCATAAGACACTCTTACATGAAAACTGTTTATTGTCTAAAAACGAAAATACCCCATTGAAGATGAGTAATGCAATAAATATAATCCTCGAAACTTGAACTGTAATATGAACATAAAAAAACTAACAAAATGGGCCATTTAACAACATATTTGGTGTTGATATTCTACAACAAAAACAAATACTTTCTCGTATAAGGAAACATACAATAATTAACATTTATCACTTTTCACGAAACAATGTAAGTGCGCTGTGACTTTACATACTTATTACAGATTGTAGAACATTTTTTTCATTGTGTATTGTCATGTAACACCTACGTCGTTTTTTTTCTTTAACAACTGCATCAGGATCGAGAACTCTGGGCTGAGAAGTAGACGGCTTACTTTATTCGTCGTTGGTAATTTAGGATTCTTTGCATGGCTGAACGAAGCTCCCTAGGAAGTCTTGGATCTGATAAACGTCCTCTCATACGAAGTTAAATTAGAGTTTGCCTCAGGGGAACAATAAAATTTCGTCGCCTAATGGAACTTTCAGTCCCAGACTGAAAAAAAAAGGAATTTACAGAAGCTGGTTGGATACCAAATAGCACAAGGCCATCTTCTCGTTCTCTAACCAGTATTGTAATTTACACACTTCCGATCTAATGCATTACCCCCCGCCTTCATAGTGTTATAAAAATAATATAGGATCTTATCAGGTTTCTTTGATTCCTCTACTATTTTGTTATCATGCTGCATAGATTGCTATACGAGAACATGTGTATTTGGTTTTGGAAGATACTACTCTAAGGCTGTACAACATAAACTTAGAAGTACCTGGCTGTGTTTCCTTCTTATTTGGAACTACATGTTGGGGTACTTGTTACTTATTTTTACGCTTCCTGCCGACATAGGTCAGTTGGTTGATGCGCAATTCTACATGTAATTCTACTGACGTGAACCAGTCATCTGCTGTGATATTTCTGTTCGTATAGACGAAAGCATTGAGCAGGTAGTGGTGAGTCTTTGCATCATCAGTCCATACTTATTCGGTTTAGTTTTCTTGTAGGCACAGGAAGGACATCGGCCCACGAGCATCTCGTATTTTGTAGGGGACTCACCCGAAATATAACAATTTCGACAGTTCTCTATGAGTGTCTCGAAAATTTCACGTATTTGGAGAAATTTATCGGCATTTCTCGAGTCACAGGGTTATTATTTTCCAAATTGGTTGCCACGGACTTTAGTTCAGGTAAATGCGTAATAATCGACCAGTTGCAGGCGCTCGTTTTGACCAATTGTACATGTTTTTTCCATAGGCATAGCGAGGTCGCCCATAGGAAGTTGTTCAGGTTGATCGATAGCAGCGTCGTCCTCGGCAAAGTCAACAAACCAACAATTGTGATGTTTAAATTAAACTGTGGTTTGAGGTATACGTGCTCATACCGTATGAGAAGTCACGGGACCCCCACCACATAACTGAGAAAGCTCGAATCATCCGACGATATCATTAAAGGATTAATTTCTATATTCTTGAACGAATCTATAAAATCAAAGTGGCTGGGTTTCAATTTACATAGCTCTTTGTATGGTCTTGTTTGCTGATCAACATTATATGATTTCTAGACATGTTCAATCTGTGCAGCTTCTTCACTTTCATATTAATGTCAATAAGAGCATTTCATCCATTTTTGAATAAATGTGGTCATCACAATTGTAGAAATACTCTGAGCATTGACTATAAAATGGAATGGACTTGATCCGTGAGTATTCTCCGAGCAAATCGTCTCAAGTGCGTTTTTGATCGTTGCGCCCTGATTAGAAATAGTGCCAACAACGCACAAACCAAGTCGCTGCTAGTTTGTGATCACATGAACAATAATCGTTTTCAGATCTGGGATTCTTGTATCTTTTACTAGATAATAAGCCACAACCTGCTTATAATTTTTACGAATCCCTCTTATCATGGAAGTAAGGGCATGATTTCTGATAAATCACTTTTTCAGAGTTCTAGTTGATTTGTTACCTCAGAATTCAAGATTTATTAGCTGAAAATTGTACACTGTGAGCACTGGGATCAGCCCTAAACTTTGTCCAAACCCTGCAATAATCGTAAACACTAAACAAGGGTAGACATATTTCTAGTTTAACTGCCTGAAGATTTTCTCTATGGTTTATACGTAACTCTCCACCTATTATCTCATTTTTGTACATGTTCTGGGAGAACTCAACTTGCTCCCTATAAATGCAACGTCTTCCTGCACAGGTGGTTCTGGTTAAGTGCCAGCCTGCTTCGGGTTTGTAATTAGTTGTTGCAATTTTCTGATTTCGTCGTCCTTTTTCATAATCCAGATTTCGTTTTGGCATTCCAGTTCAGCCATTTGATCCTGAAGCTCTTTTATAGTAGAATCATTATGGCATCGTATCTGAGATTTTAAATGAGTGGTTGACCTCACGTTGGTTACTCTCGTCCATCAGACTCTTTACGTCATTTCTCAGTTTAGATTCAAGTTCTTTTAGGAAGCCAATTTCATCTTGCAGTTCAGCAATGTGTGACATCGTTACATCAGTTTGTGCAGCAGCACTTAAAGAATGTTGCATATCTTCGTACTCAGCGTCAAGCATAGCTTCTAAGTCTGCAACCTTCTTTTTTGACTCAATATTTTGAGCTTCAAGAGATGGTTTAGGGCTCTCTGATCTTCCTAGGTTCTTCAGTTGAGTACGCAGCATCTCTATTTCTGACTCGTATGTTTTTAGTCTTTTTATTATTTTTTCCAGAAAATCGAGTCTGTATTGCAAGTCGATGAAATTCTTGCGCTTTTTGAGAATTTTTTTGAACTCTTTCTATTTCTTCGTTGTACGCATCCGTTACTTGGCGGAGTTCCTGACTGTAACGATCGAATTTAGAATTGGCTTCTGTGAGCTGTTTCTTCAGGTCCAAAATCTCCAGCTGATTATCTAGTTTAGTGAATTCTCTAAGCTCATTGAAAGATTCTTCCAGTTCTTTGAGTTGTCTTTTAAGTACACTTGCACGTCTTCAGCTATCACAGATTCTGCTTCGGCTAGTGCCTCCTCATATGTCTCTTCTTGAATAGGCCTCATTTCACGTCCGGATGATTCTTCTTTGGGTGGATAATTTTTCAATGGCATATACCCTAGGGATGCTTTTTTAGGTGATACGTTGCCATAGTGTCCAAAAGTATGACGTCTTAATGTTTTTTTCGGTGTTGATGCCGAGGCTCCCATTTGAAAGCGCCCGACAATAGATACTTCCGTTTTTAGTCTTTCTATCTCGAGCAGATACTCTTGTTTGCTTTTATCCATCTCTTTTAGCTTAATTGCCTGCTTTTTGAGCCGAGTTTCGAGATCGCGAGTCAAGTTCTGATATCCTTGAAGTGTCTCTTCTGTAGCTGACAAGATGTTTACTTTCGTTTATTTTTGACAGTTTTAGTGCTTTGGGCGAATTCTGGTGTAGATCTAGTCTCCTCCTCTGCAGCTAAAGTAACATTCCCGATAATCAATGATTTGGCATTACCGCCAAGAGCCTGTGAGAGCAGTCTAGTCAATTTCGAATCGCGATAACTGATAAACTCCTTCCCCTCGCTTAGTTGCCTTATCACATTTCCTAATACTGACAAAGATTTGTTTATGTTAGCCCCCTCTTTAAGACGCTCACCAGCAGCTTTCGTCAGAGAAACTCTCTCAGAACCAGCTAAGTCCATTAAGTTAAGGTAGCTTATATGTACAGGTCCATCTTTCTGATTGGCATCTTTCGACTCCAGAATAATCCGGAAAATCGTGTGTGATCGAGATGACCTCTCATTCATGCGAGTAGCTGCAACTCGTCTGATCTTATTGCCCTGCATCATGTTCTCCATAACTTTATCAACATTGTCTACGACAGCTTCCCTTGCATCAAGCAGCACATTTCCTTTGATATCTTCTCTTATAGTTAAACCCTGATTGCTCTTATCCAGGAGGTCATTGATCTTTTCATTGTAGATTTCAATATAACTGCATCTAATCAAGTACCTCTTATCAACCTGGTCTGCCACATGCTGGAATAACTGATTGGATACTAATTGGAAAAGCCCAGGATCTGTTTTATTGCCCAAAATGGTGTGTGTTTTGCCAGAAGATGTTTGGCCATATGCAAATATTGTGGCATTGAAACCTTCCATGAAGGAATCGACTAAAGGTTTTACTACAGATCCATATACATCTGAATTTGTACATTCCTGCTTAAATACATGGTCGAATATATAAACCTCTCCATGGCGACTACTTTCATCGGCTTCCCATATGCAGTTTACTCTTACGTTCCAAAGACGCTCTAGACCATCGGCTACTTCGCGGTGGATCATTGGTCTGATCTTTGTGGCTACTTTAATATTGTCGGAAGTCATTTTGGAAGCTTGAACTGAAATTTAATTAGAACTAGGGCTATTTCACGGGTTATAAAGAGGGGCACTTTTCATAATCCAGATTTCGTTTTGGCATTCCAGTTCAGCCATTTGATCCTGAAGCTCTTTTATAGTAGAATCATTATGGCATCGTATATCTGAGATTTTAAATGAGTGGTTGACCTCACGTTGGTTACTCTCGTCCATCAGACTCTTTACGTCATTTCTCAGTTTAGATTCAAGTTCTTTTAGGAAGCCAATTTCATCTTGCAGTTCAGCAATGTGTGACATCGTTACATCAGTTTGTGTAGCAGCACTTAAAGAATCTTGCATATCTTCGTACTCAGCGTCAAGCATAGCTTCTAAGTCTGCAACCTTCTTTTTTGACTCAATATTTTGAGCTTCAAGAGATGGTTTAGGGCTCTCTGATCTTCCTAGGTTCTTCAGTTGAGTACGCAGCATCTCTATTTCTGACTCGTATGTTTTTAGTCTTTTTATTATTTTTTTCCAGAAAATCGAGTCTGTATTGCAAGTCGATGAAATTCTTGCGCTTTTTGAGAATTTTTTTGAACTCTTTCTATTTCTTCGTTGTACGCATCCGTTACTTGGCGGAGTTCCTGACTGTAACGATCGATTTTAGAATTGGCTTCTGTGAGCTGTTTCTTCAGGTCCAAAATCTCCAGCTGATTATCTAGTTTAGTGAATTCTCTAAGCTCATTGAAAGATTCTTCCAGTTCTTTGCGTTGTCTTTTAAGTACACTTGCACGTCTTCAGCTATCACAGATTCTGCTTCGGCTAGTGCCTCCTCATATGTCTCTTCTTGAATAGGCCTCATTTCACGTCCGGATGATTCTTCTTTGGGTGGATAATTTTTCAATGGCATATACCCTAGGGATGCTTTTTTAGGTGATACGTTGCCATAGTGTCCAAAAGTATGACGTCTTAATGTTTTTTTCGGTTGTTGATGCCGAGGCTCCCATTTGAAAGCGCCCGACAATAGATACTTCCGTTTTTAGTCTTTCTATCTCGAGCAGATACTCTTGTTTGCTTTTATCCATCTCTTTTAGCTTAATTGCCTGCTTTTTGAGCCGAGTTTCGAGATCGCGAGTCAAGTTCTGATATCCTTGAAGTGTCTCTTCTGTAGCTGACAAGATGTTTACTTTCGTTTTATTTTTGACAGTTTTAGTGCTTTGGGCGAATTCTGGTGTAGATCTAGTCTCCTCCTGCAGCAGCTAAAGTAACATTCCCGATAATCAATGATTTGGCATTACCGCCAAGAGCCTGTGAGAGCAGTCTAGTCAATTTCGAATCGCGATAACTGATAAACTCCTTCCCCTCGCTTAGTTGCCTTATCACATTTCCTAATACTGACAAAGATTTGTTTATGTTAGCCCCCTCTTTAAGACGCTCACCAGCAGCTTTCGTCAGAGAAACTCTCTCAGAACCAGCTAAGTCCATTAAGTTAAGGTAGCTTATATGTACAGGTCCATCTTTCTGATTGGCATCTTTCGACTCCAGAATAATCCGGAAAATCGTGTGTGATCGAGATGACCTCTCATTCATGCGAGTAGCTGCAACTCGTCTGATCTTATTGCCCTGCATCATGTTCTCCATAACTTTATCAACATTGTCTACGACAGCTTCCCTTGCATCAAGCAGCACATTTCCTTTGATATCTTCTCATAGTTAAACCCTGATTGCTCTTATCCAGGAGGTCATTGATCTTTTCATTGTAGATTTCAATATAACTGCATCTAATCAAGTACCTCTTATCAACCTGGTCTGCCACATGCTGGAATAACTGATTGGATACTAATTGGAAAAGCCCAGGATCTGTTTTATTGCCCAAAATGGTGTGTGTTTTGCCAGAAGATGTTTGGCCATATGCAAATATTGTGGCATTGAAACCTTCCATGAAGGAATCGACTAAAGGTTTTACTACAGATCCATATACATCTGAATTTGTACATTCCTGATTAAATACATGGTCGAATATATAAACCTCTCCATGGCGACTACTTTCATCGGCTTCCCATATGCAGTTTACTCTTACGTTCCAAAGACGCTCTAGACCATCGGCTACTTCGCGGTGGATCATTGGTCTGATCTTTGTGGCTACTTTAATATTGTTGGAAGTCATTTTGGAAGCTTGAACTGAAATTTAATTAGAACTAGGGCTATTTCACGGGTTATAAAGAGGGGCAGATGTATCAGGTTGATACATTCTTTTTTTCCTCCTTTCCAGTATAGAAGATTTTTTTCTCTTGTAGGCTATGAATGCGGTCCGATAGTTTAGTAGAGCTACATTTACAGGGTGACTCAAAATCAAAGAAGAAACAGAATTGTTAAATTTCATATAGACTGTTATTGTTATTACAAAAAGAAGTTGAAGCAGCAGCAAATTCTCACAAATCTATAGATCCATCACTTTCAGCACCCGATTTTTCAACTTGAAAAATGCAGCTCGGTGAAGAATCACAAGGTAACTGTTGTCTATTCAGACAATACTCTTCTAAAAGCAACGCGAAGTTACCTAGTGCCTTACATGAATCGCCTTCATAATTCTTCATTATTGTCAATGGAAAACTGAAATTGTTGATTATTACAGTTTTTAATGCTTCAAATAAACAGATGGTGTTCGTGTTGGAAATCCCACGTCTAATCTCGCAAAACAGGTTATCCACCGGATCTTACTATCAACATCTGAAATGCCATTACTGTTTTTAGCCATGTGTACAACAGGTTTGTACGCATAAGACACTCTTACATGAAAACTGTTTATTGTCTAAAAACGAAAATACCCCATTGAAGATGAGTAATGCAATAAATATAATCCTCGAAACTTGAACTGTAATATGAACAAAAAAAACTAACAAAATGGGCCATTTAACAACATATTTGGTGTTGATATTCTACAACAAAAAACAAATACTTTCTCGTATAAGGAAACATACAATAATTAACATTTATCACTTTTCACGAAACAATGTAAGTGCGCTGTGACTTTACATACTTATTACAGATTGTAGAACATTTTTTTCATTGTGTATTGTCATGTAACACCTACGTCGTTTTTTTTCTTTAACAACTGCATCAGGATCGAGAACTCTGGGCTGAGAAGTAGACGGCTTACTTTATTCGTCGTTGGTAATTTAGGATTCTTTGCATGGCTGAACGAAGCTCCCTAGGAAGTCTTGGATCTGATAAACGTCCTCTCATACGAAGTTAAATTAGAGTTTGCCTCAGGGGAACAATAAAATTTCGTCGCCTAATGGAACTTTCAGTCCCAGACTGAAAAAAAAAGGAATTTACAGAAGCTGGTTGGATACCAAATAGCACAAGGCCATCTTCTCGTTCTCTAACCAGTATTGTAATTTACACACTTCCGATCTAATGCATTACCCCCCGCCTTCATAGTGTTATAAAAATAATATAGGATCTATCAGGTTTCTTTGATTCCTCTACTATTTTGTTATCATGCTGCATAGATTGCTATACGAGAACATGTGTATTTGGTTTTGGAAGATACTACTCTAAGGCTGTACAACATAAACTTAGAAGTACCTGGCTGTGTCCTTCTTATTTGGAACTACATGTTGGGGTACTTGTTACTTATTTTTACGCTTCCTGCCGACATAGGTCAGTTGGTTGATGCGCAATTCTACATGTAATTCTACTGACGTGAACCAGTCATCTGCTGTGATATTTCTGTTCGTATAGACGAAAGCATTGAGCAGGTAGTGGTGAGTCTTTGCATCATCAGTCCATACTTATTCGGTTTAGTTTTCTTGTAGGCACAGGAAGGACATCGGCCCACGAGCATCTCGTATTGTAGGGGACTCACCCGAAATAAACAATTTCG